ATGGCACCAAAATAGCAGCGATGGGCTTTAATTTGACGAAGCTTTGGGAATTATCGAAATCCCATTAAAAAGGGCGTGGCTACGAATTTTCCATCGACTGCCCTTCATGCTCGCATTGCCCCTCCTGCCCTTTAACGCTCCGGCGTCCTTGATTGTAAATCTATATCACCTTTTTAGAACTTTGTTAACATACTATAATTTAATTTTAGCGAAGGTGGGTATTTTTAAGCATGAGTAATAATAATATAATAAAATCTAAATGCTTCTTTACGTTCTTTGAAAAGTCTTTGAATTGCGTGAAAAATAAAAAAATGTTGTTAAAAGTCTTCAGTATAAATCTTTCTGTCATTTATGCGATACTCTAGCTTGTAAAATATATTGAATGCAGCACGATTTTGTTAATATATTGCGAAGATGGCGAATTTCAGGATGTAAGTATGGCGCGACGAGCGAGCGGTAAATACAGCACCTATATACAATCGCAGTTTTTCGACATCCGATTTCTCTCAATTAATGATCGTTGAAGAAATTTAGACTTTTACGGGTTTCAAGACACCGAACTGGCGCTGTTAATTCATACACGACAATACACGAACATCAATGCTGCATGATAAACGTACCTGTAAATAGTATATTCTGTAACTGTCGCTCTTGATAAGATCCCGCTAAAGCCCACAAGTTTTGACATGCAGGACGCCTTCGCCAAGATTTTATAACCTCACCTGCGACCTTGATTGATTGATTTCAATTTAACAAATTATAATCTACATAATCCCACTGCAACTTCTTAATTCGCTCTTGAATCCCTTAGTTTGTTTTTATATTTAAATACACGTAAAATTTCTTCCGCACATGCGGAAAAAATTTCTACGCGGTCGGTGGGTGTGGTCCAAAAATGAGACCGATCATGAATCTAGATCGACTTTTAAGTTTTAATCTAACCTATTTTCAGTGCCATTTTAAAGGACTTTTCGCGCAAAGCCTGGTTTCCATATGGTCATTAATGGTCGTAAAAATAGAGTCACGATGTTTCTCAACGGCGCCAGTTTCATAATACTTTATATTTGTAAACCACATATATAAATTATAAGTATTCTCTAGTTATAATCACTGCGCGTATTTTCAGTTCTAAAATGATGTATTTCGGCTGATGAGAAAGATCGTGACTCAATCTTCACGACCGTTACGACCATATGGAAACCAGGCTTAAGGGGCAATTAAAGCAGTGAAGAAGCTAGCCATGGCAACTCGCGTCATGTTATGCTACACAACGTTTGGCGACTAAATAAAAATGTCGCATGCGACCTGCTTACAACTTGAGTTGTACTGTGTAAATCAAGCACGTAACTTGCCTACGTGTAGTGTAAATCGGCCTTATTAAACCTACCCGCTAAGCAAGGCAACTTGGTAAGCGAGATCTCACTGTGTAATGACTTTTATACAGGGCCGTCCTCAGAGAATTCTTCAGGGGGGGGGTGTAAGGTCATTTCAACCAACCAGCACCTGAAAAAATATTTTTGGCGACCTCCCCCCCTGGTCGCGAAAAAAATTTCGGTCAGTGTACCATTTTAGGGGTACAAAAAATTTTCCGAACATATCCAAAAGTTTTCGGAACATCAGAAATTTTCTCCATTTTATCAAAAAAATTTTTCTAAAATTCCGAAAATTTCTAGAATATTCGAAATTTTTGTAAATATATCTCATTTTTTTTCCAAATTCATAGTTATTTTTGTAGATTAACTTTCTCTTGCCCTACAATCAGGAGCAAAAATTATTGAGACAAACGCATAAATGCCCCCCCGCACCCCCAATTCAATGTTGTGTGGATGACTGAAAAGAGAAAATTCAACCCGCTTTTTCCAACATTGATCATGGGGGAAGGGGGGAGGCCGACGTACTTGAAAATGGCCAAAAACCTGAAAAGTCTCATTATTTTTGCTCCTGATTGTAGGTATTACCTGAATTTGCGTTAATTTAACCGATTTTCTTCTGCAAACCAACAGGTTTCTATCTTACCCTTTGCGCGAAAATATTTAACCCAGATAGCAGTCCTACCGACTGAATAGCAGTCCTACCGACTGAATAGCAGTCCTGCCGACTGAATAACATTTCTGGGGGGGTCACACACCCCATACCCATAACCCCCCCGTATCTCCGGGCCTGCTTTTATAGTAAAAATTGTGCGTTTATATGGACACGCGAGCTGGCGCTGCGGGTCTTGCTTATCAGGGTGAAAATATCTCCACATAAACACCATCAAGTGCGCTGGTCCTGTTACCAGGAAGAAAGTTCAAAGATTCTGAAGCATGCTATTTTTAAACTGTTTCTGTCAAAACAAACAATGTCAAAACAATGTCACGGCAAGCGAGATAATTTTTTTTCATTTTCTAAGACTACGGTTACGTTTACATTGTATACCGGATAGCTTTCCGTAGCAACGTGAAAAACACCTATCCATACTTTTAGAAACGCTATTTTCAGAGGAATTATATTGCAACGGAGAGATCATTTTTCGCTCAGCTTCTGAAAATTGAACATTCGGTATCGAATAGCTGCTTTTTCATACCGCTACGGAAAGCTATCTGGTATCGTGTAAATGTAAGCTAGGTCCACACTGTGCCTGAGCGGTTTGAAAACGGCGCAGAGTGAAAACTCAAAAATTAGCCGTCGTGTTCACGCTTTTTCTGTGTTGGTGTCAGCATGTACTCAGGTGAATATGATGTAGATATAACAAGCTGTTTTGCTTTTGAGTTAACATCTCTATCACACATTAAATTTATCTACATCAAATGTAATGTTAACATCTCTATCACACATTAAATTATCACCAAGGAAATTTTTCAATAGGGCCTACTACAACTTGATATGATCAAGTTGTAGTATATATTGACAAACGCACACACAGGCAAATGAGCATACACTAGCACATACAAGTTGCATGAGACATCATTGCATGAAGAAATATAGAACCAATATATTGTAATCCGAATCGATATTGTAATTTTGCAATGAACTAATCCTTGGCGTTTCAGCCTCGTTTTCGTGATTAAAATTTTTGTATTAGTCCGACATAATTAGCAATCATAATCAAAGGCCGTTGAGGCCGACTCACAGATACGATCAAATGAAAGTAACAGAAAGAATTAGAACAGTTATTTTTGCAAACCGGGCACCGTGCGAATTTTGCCATTTCACCCATTGTCGTGCTTCACCAGTGCCGAATCAAAAGAACGAACGCGTGATTCAGCCCGATTTCCGGTTCTGAAAGACCTGATTCGCAGGCAAACAGTGCGCGCAAAGCAGGCTGGTCATTTGCCATTGTTTAACTGCTCCACACTCACCATACACTCAAGCAACCACAAAGACTCATGGATGTTGCTTCGCAACATCCGTGAGTCAAAAACAAGACCCTGTTGGCTGGTGGTACCCAGTATGCTCCGCAAAAGTGAATTGTCTGAATGGCACTATATAGGTCTTTCCTATGAAGGGGACGCGTGATTTTTGCATTATTGATTAACTTTGTTTCAATTATTTGACTGTATCGAGGAACCTTTATCACAGAATTATTTAGAATTATATTCAACTATGGAGTGATATTCCACTAAACACGTAAAAATGCACAAGTACTGTTGCTACAGGTTTGCAAACAAGTTGTCACAAATCTGTTCACAAGCTATCGACAATTAAGTTGTGTTCGCACAGCTTCAAGCTTGTTGTTTCCAGTTGTTGTAACAAACTAGCTTGACTGATGGCATTATCAGACTTGTTACAAAGTTGGTTTAACAAGTCTGATACAGACGCAGTCATGATATAACAAGAATGTTGAAAGGTTGACGACACCCAATTGTTGTATCATGGCCGTAGCAGACTTGTTGGAACAACCTTGTAACAAGTCTGATAATATCAACAACAGGGTTTTTGCATGCAAGTTGCTGAAATGTTGTTCCAAATTTGTTGACACTTGGGACAAGAAGTGCGAACATAGGCGTACGGGTTACAAAGTCGAAAAGTCGGGCAAATGTTCAACAAAAGTCGGGCAAAAGTCGGGCAAAAAGTAGTCAAAACAAGAAAATCTATCTTAATAATAACCCCAGTTTGTTGGGCAAACAAAGCCAGTTGGGCAATATTCGCTTCACAGTCGGGCAGTATTTGGTTATTTTAAAATAAATGGGACAAATGGGGGCGGGGGAGGTCGCCAAAATAAACTTTTTCCGGAAAAAATATTTTGGCACTTGTCGGGCATAATCCGAAAAAGTCGGGCAAATTCCTTTCTGCCCCCCTAATTTTTTCCTTCCCGTACGCCTATGAGTGCGAACACAACTTGTTGACGACTTTTTGGCAGGCTTGCTACAAGATGTGAGATCAGACCTGTCAACTCTTCCGGTGCTGCCGGGAGACTCCCGGTTTTGACCTTTTTCTCCCGGTCTCCCGATATCAAGGTATTTTCTCCCGGTTGCTTGTTTTAATAATTATGAAGTAATGGAATATTTTCCAGATTCAAATATCTGGCAAGAAATAGTAATCGTGTGAAAATCACTCGTGTTCAAGCTTGCGAAAAGTAGATTATTGTAAGGATATGAGATGTAACATGGGATCTCGAAAACTAGTTGCATTCCTGCCATGTTAGCATTAAATTAAATTAACCAAGTTGTTGGAGCGAAAACAATTATAATGATTATAAACCTGGGAAAATGATTATGAGTTTTTTATTGTTTTGAACACTGTCACTGCATATCACTTTAATTTTGCTCTCCCGGTTTTTGTTAAAATCTCACAGTTTTTTAAGGGCTAAAAAGCGAAATCTCCCTGTTTTAAAATTTTAAGGTTGACAGGTCTGTGTGAGATTTTTGCTTGTGTATTTTCAAACAATTAAAACAAGCGACCGCGCGAGAACCGCGAGAAAATAGTAAAATAATTTGATACCGCTGCAACAGCGACAAAATTAACTGGACATTGTATAAGGGCGAATATTTGTCGCACCATTGCAATTTTTCCTTTAAACAATATGGCGGACAAGGAAGAAGCGTTTTTTTGAAGAATTGACGGAAATTTGTGAAGTTTATAGCCTGTCTACAAAAATGAAGTATGTTTTACCTTTCGACTTTTATTAATAGTTATATACGCGTTGTTTAATATAGTTAGCGAGTGTTTTCTGTGAAGTAATCGCATCTTTTACGTACAGTATTAATATTAAATATTAAAATGAATATTCCACACTGCAGAATTGGTCAGTCGGATCGCCTTGCTTGAAGTTGCTTCCACACACACACACACACACACACTTTTTTAGGGAAGCGTTTCATTACCTATAGGAAGCGCTTGATATTTGCAAGTTTAAGAATGCCCTGGATCTCAAAATTTTATAATTTTGAACTCCTCTTTTGGTAGTTTTATACGCTGCCTCTTGATGCGTATTTGGGTACTGTTTTGCACCCTAGCACCCAGATTTGCAGCTCTTGTGCCCCTGATATCTTGTGCCCCTGATATCTTGTTGTTTGTACCTCTTTTTCTTAAGCCTGGCACACAATGCCAAGGGCAGATCTAGCCTCATCTGCAAGGAGGGGTGCAGGTTTTCCACAGGTAGTGCATGAGGGGCCCTTACTGCCCACTGTCTTTCAAGGTCTGCAACGCTACTATCCCAACATTACCATTATTTGAGATGGCTGAATCTGCATGTTCACCGTTCTGTTAGTTTTACATTTTGTTTATAAGTTTCTAAATGACTTTTTATCACATATATATGACTGCATGGATAGTTACTATAGCACAATACAGTATATTTGAAAATATGGCTGTATGACAACCTCGATATGTTTACATATTAAACTATGATATTTAGCTAATTAAAGCTTTCTGAGTATTTTTTTGTCACCTCACCAGTGGCGGAAATTCACTTTTTCCGTTGGGGGGGGGGGCGAAGCCTTCTAAATTTCCGACAAAACTTTCAAATATCCGTCAACCCCTCCCCCCCCCACCACCCCCCCCCATTTGCACTCGAAAAGGCTGTTTTTAGCCCTTTTATAGGTCAAAATTTCCGAAAATTCGTCATCAGTTTTCCATGAAGGTGGGAGGCCGGCCGAGATTTCCGCCACTGCAGCCGACACAAAGCAATTATAATAAATAGTTTCAAGAAATTGATGCAGGCTAACACTAGCAGGTCCGCTAATTGCTATTTGAGAAGCAGAAACTATATGAAAGCAGATGAACTTCTCTGGGGGGAGGGGGGGGGGTGTGCTAGACACCAACTATTGGGGATAGCCGCCGAATATGCCCTAAACATTTTATTTTGCAAGCCGTGACTCACTTATTTGTTCTGTTTTTATAGGTTAAATATTGATGGCTTGTTGGTATATTTTCCTTATGATTACATCTATCCTGAACAGTACTCATACATGTTTGAACTGAAGCGATCTTTAGATGCCAAGGTTAGCTGAAAGATCACATTAATTTATTATACTGTAATATCACATATTATTATATACACAAGATCTGGATATGAGGTATTCTGCAATCTGATTGGTTCTCTACTACCGGGATATTAGCTCATATCCTGCTAGTATAGAAAAACAAAATGGCGGCTAAAACTGAATTTCCGATGTTTTGCGAACGAGAAAACGACAAGTTGTTCGCTTTTTATAGCCCTTTCAGGATTAAAAACACAATGAAAAAACTCCCACAAATTGTTTACAGGTTAGCAAATGAATTTTTAAATTTTTATAATGGTTAAAAAATATATTTTTGAAAAAATAATCGGCCGAAAGGGCGAAGATACAAACATAAACAAAACAGAAAAATATTGAAAATACCCGAAAAACAAAGTCTGTGAATTCAGACCTTGTGTATATAATAAAACAGTTATTCCACTCACTCTCGTCGAATATGAGCGATAGCCGATTCGGCGCTACGCGCCTCATCGGCTATCAGCTCATATTCGACTCGAGTTCGTAGAATAACTGTTAATTGTTGTAAGGTACATATGTACATTGTAGTTGTAGTAACCTATTGGGCATGAGCGCTCTGCACTTGATGAGTAAAATCATCTGGCATATTAGACTGAGTAAAGGAGGATTCAGTATTTCACTCTGTCTAACTAATGCCAGGAAATTTTTGTCTTACTCTCTATGACAATGTGCATGCACCTTCATATGCACATGCATAAGTTGGTTTTGTAAAATGCAGAGTTGTAGAATCGAATCATGTGACTTAGACGAGTCGGACTCAAGTCACAATTTTCATGACTTGAGACTTGACTTAAGGCGGATTTCTAGTCCTCGCACGAAGCTCTGTGAGTGCTTGCATCTAATTAAAATTAACTGTTTAGCATTGTGATATGGATGAAAGTGCTGATGCATCACTCGCAGTGAGCTGCGAGGAGCTTCGTGCGAGGACTGGAAATCTGCCTTTAGACTCAAACAAAATGACTTATGACTTCACTTGCTGGAAATGACTTTTTAGCAATACAAGTCAAATGTAAGTCTTAAATATCTACCATTAAAAATGAACTTCTCCACAAGTTGCACTGGAAATTCATCGATGTTGTACGGTGACTAGTGCAGCCATATTAGGGTCTTTTTTAAAAATTCATTAGTGGGAGATGACAGATGATTGTTTGTGACAAAAAGTTTGGTCTGATGTTGTATGTAATAGTAGGGGCCTGGGGGCATTGCATGTCCGCCAGAAAATTTTTGGATTTTAATATTTGAAGATAAAAGACATGCAAATTTCAATTACTAGAATATCAAACTTCCCTACTACTAAGTTCCATTCTTTGTTTAATGTCAGTGGTTTCAAAATAAGCCGTCGCCCGTCGCATCCGACTGCAACTCTTCCATTTGCGACTGCTACTTTCACTTTTGTAAGTAACTATAAATTCTAATTAAGTGTTTACAAAATGTTTTGTGAGCCAACAAGCGTGTATTTCCCCTCGAATTTCGTCTAAACGTAGCCACAGTCACAGATTACCGGATTAGAAGCTTTGATACGTACGCCGCCGCTACGCGTCTCTTGCGTGTTGAGGACAGGCTCAGAGGTTTTCTTGGTAGCGGTTTCTAACAGGTTGTACTTTATGTATAAGATGTCACATTCGTCTCCAAGAGCAAAACAAAATGGCTTAAAAACAACAACGAAAGCAAGCGGAGATGTGGTCGCTATTGTTATTGGACGTTGTTGTTATAGGCATTAATTATAAGAACATAAATTTAACAGTGTTTTAGACATTTAAAATATGATTTTTTGAGTCTCAAAAACAAATGCTGAAAAATGCATCTTCTAGAGTCTAGAAGTTCAAAATTTTCTGGAAGCAAATTCAAGCAATATCAGGGACTGCGGAACAGGGGGGGGGGGCTTTAGCCCCTCAATAATTTTCCATACATATGTGATTTTTATAAACTAAGAATACTGAACTGTTTCAGATCAGTTAACAATATATTTATAACTTATATATATAAGCCAAGTATTCAATCTATTTCTGCGGGCTGGATTAAACAAATGACGGGTAATATTAGATTAAGAGTCGTTTATTAAGAAACTTTTTAACAGCAACTTGTGAATTTGATTGCATTTCCGAGGCTTTGCAAGGTCCCAGATTTCAAAATTTCCCGGGGGAGCATGCCCCAGGACCCCCATAATTCAAAAATGGCTCCATGGTCCCTGAGCATGCCGTCAGATCCCCCAAGTTGCAAAGTTCGGCCTTCGGTTGCAACTCCTACTCTTCACAACGCAACGTCTACTATGAAATGTTTTGAAACCACTGAATGTTTAGCTAAATATATGGTGGGGTTACATGTAATAGACCCTTCCACCAGAAAGTATGTCACTTTGGCTATCACCAATTAACATACACACTGTACATACAATTTGTTAGTTATCCTAGAGGGTTTTTGAAAACTAATTTACAATTTTGAAAAATAATAAACCATGAAATTGCATTATTTATTTAATTTCAATTATATTACAATTAAAACAGATTGTATATATTAAACTTTACTGTGCATAAAATTAGTTTGTGTTTAAAAATTCTTCTAATAATTGTTTTTTTCAAACAGCGTTACTTTACAGGTAAACTACGTGAAGCGTTCCTCTTTTGAGTTTCTAAATTGATTACAATTTTCCTCATTACTTTTGCAATTTAAAAAACTCCCTTGCAAATCCCTTGAGGAAATTTGCAATGTTGCTAAAAGGCAATTAAATTTTCCTCAGTTCCTGTTAGAAGTTCTTAACTTCCTGTTACAAGTTCCTAACTTCCTGTTCTGTTCTGGGTGTTGCAATTGGCTAACAAAAATAATCCACCAATGACAACGCTCAGAACTGAACAGGAAGTTAGGAAAATTGAAAATGAAGTTTGTTTGCATTGGAATATTGCAACAGCCGATAGGAATATTGCAAATTCCCTCAAGGGATTTGCAAAGAGTTTTTCAAATTTGCAAAGCTAATGAGGAAAATTCCAAATCAGTTACGAAGTCAAAAGAGGAACGCTTCACGTAGTTTACCTGTAAAATCCCTGCTGCATGTACAATGTTTGAGTTTGGGACAAAGGGAGTTCTACATGTTTGATATGCCCTATATTACAAATGACTTTTGACCAGTCGTAATTTTGAATTTAGGGATTGAAACACTTTGATTTAACTAATGTCCATATGCACGAAAACGCGACTCTATAGCCAAAATGACATACTTTCTGGAAGGGTTTATTGTCAAAGTAGGCATATATAGAGTACTGTAGTCATTCAAGTGTGCAAAGTTATCGGAGAAAAATTCTCAAGTGTGCACTTGCCCTACTGTGCCAGTTTGGTGCAAAATGAGAATTTCATTTGATCATTTTAGGGTCACTGTCTGCTGGAAATGCCGTCAGGAACAGGGAAGACAATATCTCTTTTGTCTTTAATTGTTGCTTATCTTATGGTATGTGTGGTGGCCATTTAGCAGGAAGATACAGATTATGCGTCCCTTTGATTTTCTAAATTGCGTAATATCCATAATAATAGACATACTGTATATGTCGTCATGTGGAAAAGAAAGCTGTGTAATGGTAGGAATACAACTACCTGAAGAACACAAGGGCCTTTGCTCGTAAAGTTCTCCTGAGCTTAATTGTATTTTTTAGCATTGTAAATATTTCCAATATAGTGTCCTGGCATCTAAATCAGTTTCCGATATTTTTCCGTATATCTACGACAATTGGATTCGGCCCATGAAAAGTTCGCCGTCTAAGCCGCGCCTAATACGGATTGTTTTCCAATACATACAGTTTCTTATACATGTGAGTCACGTTTTAGGGGGAGTCACTATTTTAGACTTTTAGGGTTAGGACAGCCTAGACCTATAGGCCTTTTATACTCGGCTGGTAATTATCGCAATGGTCATTCGCCTCGTAAAGGCCTAGTAGATTTCACAAGTTTTCAAATTAGCCCCATAACTTTGTGATCCGAAATTGTTCAGAAACCAATAACTAAACCAATTTATACTGTCCAGTAGTTATTAAATTAACTATAAAAACATTTTATGACTAAACTAAGTTCTATTTTGTAGTAATATTTTGACTCATTTTGACCTAATTCGCAACATAATAATAGTGTTGCTTCAAACTTTATGATAAAGCCCCGATTTTCTAGGCGTGTATACAAATAAAAGTAGTAAGTTTATACTATAAATGAGTTTATTTTACCTGTATCGGTTTAAATTCGCTGTTAAGTTGCAAATAATTCTGTTTGAGAACGCAATAATTGGGCATTTCGCAACCAGGGCAGTTTCAGGGCAGTTTTGGCCTTGTTGTTGGGAAATCCACTAGGCCTTCTATTTTTTCGCTTGCGCATCCTCCGCCCCGCCCCCAAATCACCTGGTTCCAGTCTTTTCATATGAAAAAGCGCTGAATATTAAAAAAAAATAATAAAAATAGAAGGTCTGGGTTGGGGTTAGGAATAGTGTTTGGATTAGGGAAAGGGTTAGGATTAAGATTATTAAGATTAAGGTTATGATTAGAGTAAGGGTTAGGATTAGGATTAGGGTTAAGTTTAAAATACAAAAGACTACAAAATTGCAAAAGTCTAAAAATAATAACTCCCCCAAAAAATAACAGGTATATTCTTATATGCCCAAAATTTCTCATACACTGTGTTGGTATACATGTAACAGTTGTAGGGACGTTCAAATTTGACTACTGCTACGACCAAGGAACTATTAACCATTAGATGTGTTTGGTATATCCGATTAACCAATCAGATGCGTACTATAAGCCAGTGAGACGTGGCATTTGTGAGACGTGGTAGTGATAGTGGAAGTCAAATCTGGACCCCACTGTATTGTTTAATTGAGTGCAATTTGAAAAAAAAGCATGCACAAGTGAGTTTTTCAAGGTTGATCAAAATTGCAAATCTCACGAGTTTTTCGCTCACTTACATACATTATCTGCTATATTTTTTATAGAACAAGCCGTTGGAGCTGACGAAATTAATATATTGTTCACGAACAGTCCCAGAAATGGAGAAGGTGGGGGTGGTGGAATAAAAATTTAGGGGAGGTGCAGCGGTCTAGCTCTCGACCCCCGTGGAAAGTTAGGGCTTACTGTAGAACGGGCCAAAGTGAACGACGTGACGTGTGTACTGTATGCAGCGTACAGTACATATGTATATTAGTGTTTAATGAATTATGACTGTACGACTCATCCAATTTTGTCCTTCATTAAAATTACTACAAAGTTTCTTTCAAAACATTGCATTAAAAGGGTATATTTGACACATAGATGAATGGCTATCACTGTTTCAGTTTTACAAAAAAACCTTTCTTACGAAGTGTAGACCCTAAGCAACCATGCACATTTTCACTTTGATCTGTCATTGAAACAAGGGGAGATGCGTGACTTTTCAGGGGAGGTGCAAAAATTCTCAGGAGATGTGCGCACCTCCCCACACCTTCCCTCAGAATCTGGCCATGGATTCTGACTCAAAAGTTAGAAAATTTTTTGTCACTTGATTTAATAAAAATTTAATGAATATAGTTTGCCATAAGAGCATAATATTATAATGCTCATCTAGAGGGCATACTATTACAAATTTACAACGTTACATAAAACATAAAGCAGACACTCAACGATTTTTACAAATACCGTACATTATTAAACTAGCATTTGCAAATCAGTTCATTATAAATAGATAAAATAATAATTGGTCATCAAGGCTCTACAAGAGCAAATCGACCACTTTCTCTAATGAAACATCGGACACCATGAAAAATTCCGATATTTTCATTTTCTGCGAATTGTGAGAGGATCCAGTCAAAAAAGCCTTATTATCTGCAATTCAGAAATTGCATACCATCTATCGGCAAGAATATGAACAGCAGAGGAAAGCAACTTCAATCTAGGAGCAGCAAACAACGGACAGTGAAGAAAATAATGATTAATACTTTCAATTTCGAATTATAATTCGACACCACAAAAACATTCGGAAGAGGGTTTACTCCCAATTTTAAACAGATAGTAATTTAAAGCACAAACATTTAAACGTAATCGAGTATGAATGATAGAGGAATATCTGTCAAGAGAAAAATTAAATAACCTTTTGTAATGAGGAACTTCAAAAATTCTAAACAAAGCGTTTTTAAACGAAATTACTGACTCAAGATTGCGTAGCTCCGAGGGCTCGGGTTGAATTTCTTAA